GTAGGTGGTTACAAGGTGTGCAGAAAAATTTACTAGATGGTTGCCAGAGGACACTAGATTGTTACTGGGTTACTCTGAGTGGTTGCTAAGGTGTTCTAGGTGGTTGCTTGGTTGTTGTTAGGTTGTTCCTGGTGGTCGTTGTTTGATTGCAAGGACATTTTATAAAAACAAACTGGCTGAGGACTCATATAGGCATTAGTTTTAGCAGTGGGTAGCACTGTCGCCTCACAGCAAAAAAGTTGCTGGTTGCAGCCAAGGCTGGGTCTGTTAGCATTTCTGTGTAGAGTTTGCATGTTCTCCCCATGTTCGTAAGGGTTTTCTCCGTGTGCTCTGGTTTCCCCCGCAGTCCAAAGACATATGCTGTAGGTGAATTGGGTAAGCTAAATTGTCTGTAGTGTATGTGCATATGTCCTGGTCCTTCATGTTAGGGGTTAAGTTTTGGGCTAACAACCCACCTCATAAAAAACTAGATGTAACAAAACCCTGGGAGTAAGTAAGTCTAGTCTAGTCTCAGCACAGGTCAACTGGAGAGTTCACATTTCACTAGCAAAACTAAAGAACAAAACCTGACAGGTTCTGAATCAAATATGTAAAGTTCCTCATCCTTACATTGAATCTACAGAGACCTGAACGCTGACTCATTTGAACCACAGACCTCATAGCAACACCCTGGCAACCATCCAGACACCCCAGCATCAAAGCTTTGTCTTTCCCTAATTATAAATGCAAACATGTTATTTCTCCATGGACAGACACTTGTATTTCCCAACTCACACTGCTTTAGAAAAAAAAGAAAGAAATCTCAGCGCCCGTGCCGCAAACTGCTCTTGGCTGTTTTGTTGTTGTTGTTTTTTTTTCACTTCCTTTGGCTTATTTTAAATCTATCCCTTCTAAGCCCGCAATATCAAACAGTCGTCTTGCTGGCCTCTCTCTCTGAAAGCAGCTTACCATGATGAGAGATGATAGCACTTAATTCACTGTGTGCGTGTCGCCCCTTTTGTAGGACGAGAGGGTGAAAAGAAAGCCTGCCCTCTCATTGCCGTCCTCCTCCTCCCGTTCCTCGCTCTATAAAGGGCTTAAAAGAAACCAAGTGAAATTAAACATTATTGATAATTGGCTTTGGGATCACGGCACATTGTGTCCATTTTGTACCTGTATTTGCTCCTAATTGACCATGAAATCTCGGGCCCTAATCCTGTAAGGTTTCCCCCAGCTGACAGTGATAAATAGCATCACCCCACCTCATGGTCCTCTGCACTTTGTAAGGCTAAAATGCTTATTATTCTTTCCCCCCTTTAATGGCTGTCAGTCTGCGGAAAATCATAAATCTACAGATGGAGTCGATGTGGCAGGTTTGTAGAGCTTTTTGTAATTGTTTAAATCCCCCATGTGATGTGGTTTAAAGCCCCCGTGGATCTGTAATTGCCTGTCAAACTCGGCTCGGCTGCGCACCCCACCTCGGTCTGCGTGCCGCTCGCTCACTCGCTCGTCTCTCGTGCATCCGTGTGGAACACTTATCACCGCTCTCATCTATTTTAGAGCCGATGTCTCAGTCAGCGCTGATTTGCTTTGCTCATTGTTTGCATCTGCTCGAGTCTGATAAACAATACAATTGTTTGTTTTTTAGTTATACTCTTTATTAGCTTGCGCGAGTGCGTCTTTTGTGTTTCGCTTTGCTATTGCATGGTGAATAGACGTCGATTGCATGGAAAGGTTGTGGAAAGATTTTTTTTATATATGCGATTAGTGATGCTTTGTACATGTAGAATTGAACATTCCTTGCTGAACCTGAAGTGCGCTGGAGAACTACTTGAGTTGTTTTGATGTGGAGGTTGAAAGATTGAGACCTTGGTTCAAACATCCTTGGTGCTCTAGTCAATTACATGATACTTTGTTCTGTTGTTTATTCAGAGTTATTGGAGAATTGGGAGTTTCAATTTATACAAGATCATGCAGCTCTGCATTATAGGTTTAATGAATTGATATAGCTTAGCTGAAATAAAAAAAGAAAAAAAAATCTATCTGAAAAATAATGGTTTCAAATAAGCGCTTTGTAGTGAAGCCATTCTGTAGAAGGACCATTTTATAAAGAACTTTTTAGTCAACAGTTCTTAAAGAGTCACGAAACACCAAAACACAATTTTTTGAAATGTTGACTGTCATATATGTGTCCCAAGTTGCTAAAAACACTATTAGGACACATACAGTACATCCAGAAAGTATTCATAGTATTCACTTCAATTTTTCCATTTTTTAATGTTACATCCTTATTCCAAAATGGATTCAATTAATTTATTTCCTCAGAATTTTAAACACAAAACCCCATAATGACAATGTGAAAAATGATTTTTTTTTTTTAATTGTTGTGAATTTCTAAAAAAAAAATGAAGAAAAAAAAAACTGAAAAATCCCATGTACATCGGTATTCACAGCTTTTGCTCAATACTTTGTTGATGCTCCTTTGGCAGCAATAACAGCCTCAAGTCGTTTTGAATATGATGCCACAAGCTTGACACACCTGTCTTTGGGAATTTTTGCCCATTCCTCATTGCAGTACCTCTCAACCTCTCAATTAGGTTAGATGGGAAGCGACGGTGTACAGCCATTTTTAGATCTCTCTAGAGATGCTCAATAGGATTTAGGTCTGGGCTCTGACTGGGCCACTTAAGGACATTCAAGCAATTTTTCACATTGTTATTATGGGGTATTGTGTGTAGAATTTTGGGAAAATAAATTATTTAGTCCATTTAGGAATAAGGCAGTAACATAAAAAAATGTGGAAAAAGTGAAGCGCTATAAATACTTTCTGGATGCACTGTATATATTAATAAAAAGTGAAAATTGGTGGTTTTTGCGTTATTTCGTGCAAATTCGTTCTTCCGGTTTGAAAAGAAAACTTGAAGCTGCGTCACGGTGATGAGATCCTTTTTTAATATCCAGCATGGAGATTGGCTGCCTGCACCAGCCGATACAACTTGACGTCTTTGAGTTTTCAACATCAATTCATGAGAAAGACTTGGTTCAAAAGATCAAAAGAAAAACAAAAGAAAAAGTTCTTTAATATCACATAACACAACGTTTCGACCTACATGGTCTTCATCAGGTCCTGATGAAGGTTGGGTGGGAGGGTTGTGACACTTTAACAACTACGTATTTTAATCTTATTGATTTCATTTTAATCTTCTAAAGAATAGTTTCACTGCAAAGAAGCATTTGTTGTTTAAAAAACATTTTCTCAGATGTTAAGAGTTCTTTATGAAACCATTAGCGTTAATACACAACCTTTATTTTTAAGAGTGTACACAGTATTTGAGTGAATATTCAATTGGATTTTACCACTTGAACACAGTGAATAACCAACCATTTGAAATCATTTTTATTTCATTTTTTTCAGACCTGTTTTACGTTAGTTTGAATGTCTTTGTTTTTTTCCCAATACCTTGTTTGGTTTGGATGGCAGTGTTCACTTACACAACATAGTTAATTTTAATCAAACCAAATCTGCTAAATGTGAACACTAATCACTTGTTTTAACTGAAATACTGCTTAGCACAGTACAGTACAGTATGATATGAGAAACCTTAATCAGGCTTGTGTTTCCACTGGCAATATATAGGCATTGTATATGCCATAAAGTAGTAATCAATGTCATTCTTAAAAAAAAAAAAAAAAAGCCATAGGGGCCATTTATATGTTGCATGTTTTGCACGACTAAATTACTTTCAAATGTAGATGCAAAAAATAGAGGAAGTGTCCCCATAAACAACGATGGAGGAAAAAACTCTTGCTGTATTTGTCAGAAAAAGACGAAAAGTTTAGTTTGAGCAAGGTTAATTGCTGCACACCATCATTGTATCATTACATCCGGTCCTGATACACGCAATGCGACAAAATTCAAGCTGCAAGCAATTTGGCTGTCTGCATCATACGCAATATGTCACAATGGATAGATTTAATTACCAGCAATTCATTTAAATATCAGCTATTGCACTCTCATTGAACTGGTAGGATTGTAAGGTAATTAATACATATTATACCTATTATAAAGTATGATGTTGTTGGTTTGCACTGATTCACAGTTCTGACATTTAGTTTCAAACCGACAGCTAGTTATTTTATTTTTAATATCTGAGATGAACTACCTGCTGCTTCTTTTAGTATGACAATAAACGTCACGCAAAATGGTGTGCAAACTCACATTGGTAGCATTTAACAGTGCATAAAGCACTTAATCTGTACCTGAAATAAAAATTGTCATAGTAGTTTGTAGGGTGTAGTTTTGCCGAGACGTTGCAGAAATAGAAACTGTTTCTAAAATAGAAATTTCATGCATTTTATTGCGTGTTTATCGCTTGTAGTTAGGACACGGTGTTAAAGTGTTGTGTCTCAGCTAGAAATATGTAAAAATTTCGCTTACATTTATTGTTGTACTCTGTAAACCAATCAGTGTTCCGCATGAGTCTAGCTCTACCCATTAGCAACTGTATAATTATGTTTGGTTACCTTACAAAAGGTAAAAAAGTAGTGCGGTTTGGATTTGATACCATTCTTCCGACAGTGGAAACGGAAATAATAATGTACTATACTGTACTTTCTGGAACCGCACCATGATGTAAACAAGCCATAAAGTAAGCGAGAAAATCCTAAAGGTAATCAAATATGAAACATAAACATAATCAAATAAGATTCACCTGTATTCATAAATCTGATTTATCCTATACATCCAAACTCTCAAGATGAAGATGGCCTGCAAGATGTGCAAATCACTTTTTTTAGCGCTGTGTTTGCTGTGTTAGCTAATTTGCATGGTTTCTTTAGTCAACCAGATGCTGAAGCAACACAGACAGTGTGAACAATTCATTTTTAGTGCATATGTGCGTGACATATAACAAGGCTGCATGCAGTATGAACATCAACAAGCATGATTGTAACTCAAAGATGAAAACAATGCATTGAATTCCTCCCTAAAATAATTTGAGGCTTCTGCATCCATCTCACAGGAGTCTGGCGCTGATGCCCTGGAGCTGAATCTATCATGTCCTCATGGAATGGGGGAGAGGGGAATGGGGCTCGCCTGTGGGCAGGTAAATCCAGCATTCAGCAGCCACTCTACACAGCCACCATGCAGAGATATATTTTTTTTAAGTCTTAAGGTTATTATCCTGTTGTTGTTGTTTTTTATTTTGTTTTGGAGTCTTCTACAATAGCTTTGCATCCATTCAAGATCTAAATAACACTTTTTTTGTTCTCATAAATATGCATTAACTTTTCTCACAGTCTCTGAAAGTGTTTTTATCAGAGATAAATCACTCTAAATCTCTCTAAGTTTTTATTCTGTGTGAGAAATCAAACCTTCATCAATGTCATATCTGAATTTTAACTCTAAAGTCTTAAAAGGCTCTATTTAAAAAATCTAGGCGCAAAGTCTAAAGGGCATGGTGCAAAAGCATTAAGGGCATGTCCGAATCCACCTTTGCCATTTTAAGGATGGAAGGATGGTCTTGTGCTTATTTTCTCAATGAGTTATGGGTGTGTTTTGAGCATAACATGCATTAAACCAATCAGAGTCTCATCTCCCATTCCCTTTAAGAGTGAGTTGTGTCACACCATGGAGCATTTGTTATTTACATAGCGGACTTTGTAAGTTGAAAAACTGAATGCTTTAAAGGGAGAAAACAGTTAAACAGACCATCTGCAGCGCGAGGACAAAGAACGAGCCTTCTCCATTCAGACTCAACTTTCTCTTTACTTTTACTCTTTACTCCTTTATTTTCGTGGATAGGGAAATGGTGTTGTACACACTCCTGTAAAGACATCCATTAGCCTACATATTTATTTTTGTTTGTTAAGCTCAAAGATTTGTTTCCAAACTATTTCTAAATTTAGTTCTCATTTCCAGTAAACGAATCAATAAACAATAATAAAGAAGTGTGCTCAAAACCCTATAGCTGCGTCTCAATTGGTACACTATACACTTATGTACTATGTACTTATGCACTTACACACTCAACAGCAAAGTAAATGTATGTAGAGTCGTCCCAAATGGAGCACTTGTGTTTTTTACTAAATTCAAAGCATTTCCCTGATGACGTTTGACGGTTGCCAAATCAGTGAAATAACTGACGAAACTATTAAATAATACCTGCCCATGAGAATAACTGCATTCACCATCAGGAGGCACTATAATCACTCTCATAGGAGAATTTTGCTTCCATCATCCAAAATAAATAAAGTTGACCAACATTTGCGTGTGCGTGATATCTCCGCCTATTCTGCCATGTAAGCAAACCTGCGGTCGTTGAGTGCGTGAAGTGTCCATCATTACACATTTCATTTTACAGTCTAATGAGTGCATAACCCGGGTAATTAAACTGCACTTATTATTTTTAGAGTTTTCAATGTGAACGCACTACTTACACTATTTATACTACAAAATGGCGTAGAATAGTGCATAAGTATGCGATTTGGGCACAGCTTAAATGAGTGTTATAACCAAACACATGTCCTATTCTTATGTCCCAAATGGTGATGCAGATATCTCCAAAACCCGATAGGTGGACAAATCTAAACTTGTTTTTATAAAAACAAATATAATGCACATAATGAATAATACTACTACTAATAATAATAGCATTATACAAATGCAAATTGTCATGAATAAATTGAAAAAAGCCCTCCGAGATAAAGAAAGCTTGGAGGCATTGTTTTTTTTATTTATGTTGAATATAATACTTTTTGTAACAGTTTAATCCTTAATTTTTTTTCATATGTAAAGATATGTGTGTATTACTCTACATCCTGTGTGTATTAAGCAATATGTAAGCATTTTGGACTGCATAGGCATATAACTAATGCTCTGTGCACTGGACTTTAGACCAGCTTTTAGTTAATAATAATGATAATAATAATAATAATAATAATAATAATTCCTTAGATTTATATACTGCTTTTCTAGACACTCAAAGTGCTTTACACAATAGGGGGAACACCTCATCCACCACCAGAGTGCAGCATCCACTTGGATGACGCAATGGCAGCCATATTGCACCAGATCGCACACCACACACCAGCTGATTGGTAGAGAGCAGTCAGAGTGATGAAGCCAATTATGATATGGTGATGGTTTGGAGGTGCACAGAGAACAATGGGCAAATTTGGCCAGGATGCCGGGGTCAAACTCCTACTCTTATTTGAAGGACATCCTAAGAGTTTTATTGAACACAGAGAGTTGGGACCTCGGTTTAACGTCTCATCCAAAAGACAATCAATGGCGTGGTCTATTTCAGTTCCTCAAAATAGCAACGCACCAACAATGCGCCTTAGCACACCTCCTTTATAGACCAGCACACCCACGAGTCCACAAAGTGGCGCAAACGGATTTACTATTTAAACAATGTGGCACAAAATGTAAAACATATAGTTGCACAGGGCTGAAAATAGCAACAAATCGCACCATACACGTCTTGTGCCTTATAGCAGCAGGTGTATGATAGGGCCCATAAACACAGTTATGTAAACAGTATCAATGGTATAAGTTTTACTGTATCAGTTCGAACCAGAGAATTTGTCATTTAGAAGTTTAAGCCAAGTGGATTTTACACACCTCAGATACAATTTCAGTGTTTGATGGCCAAAGGAAGAGCCTGTTATGAACATAAGCTGGATGATATAGAAAAAAAATAAATAAAAATCCATCACAATCTAGTATTTTTTTATATAATTCATTACTCTGTATTACTGAAGTGTTCAATAAACATTTTAAAGACACACAGTAAAATTATTTTAAATAAAATTATATATTTTTAATTGATCTGTTTAAAGCAATACATAAACCAAGTATTAACAGTGAAAAACACCATTATATAGATGTTGCAATTATCAGCCTTTTTTTTTTTTTGATGATCCAGAATTTTTTAATTATCCAGCCTTTTTAGTAGCAATGTAGTTTATATTTTTCTCTTGTCTTTATTTTATTTTAATGGTATAAATGCACTTTAGCAATCAGAAAGCATGCCTAATTAACTAAGATCATGAACCGTATTTGATTTAACAACACTTAGACACAAATAATTAAACTAAAGTATATTTTAAGAAAACTTATAACATTTTACTTTTCAGCCGCTGCTATTTATCAGACCATTTAAACTTTTGTATGATTATTTCTCAGTTTTTATCACTTAAAACAGTGCAATTCTTAATTAACAACTCGCATAGCGTCCTCAGAGATTAAGTTCATTTGTTAGTGTTTTGCGAAACAAACACACTAAAACACCTTGAGCCTCATGGGTGTGCTTCATGCGCATGTCACGATGGCTCACTCAACACACACACGGATCACAGAAATTATCAAAAAACGTGTATTTATTTACAAAAGCAATCACTACAGGCTCTGAAACATCAACATACAGGAAGGACAAGAAGATGGTGACAGTAAAATACAGAAAAAAAGACCTTATCAAGAGGTATAAATAAAGAGGACAGGATTGAACAGATTACAAACAAGGGTGAGACAACAGGTGGAACTAATGAACATTGACAAACGGAAGGAAAACAGAACAAAGGAAACACATGACATAAAAAGAAGTACATGGAACAAACACATGGGATATCACATGATATAACTACATGAACACAACACAGACACAGAAAAACATCCGAAACGTAACATCGCTAAACTGAAACCCTGCTGTTATACACACAGAAGGTGCTTTCTAATGTCACAGTATAATGATGCAATCTAACCATCCTGTCCTTCCTTTATCAACCCATCTGATTGGCTGCTTATAATTCAGTGACTGGGTACACTTGAGCTTTGTTCATGCAATCAAACTTCAAGTCCAGTTTCCATTATTATGTGTTTAAGTGGTTTTTGTTGTTGATGTTGTTGTTATTGAGAAATGCTGTTTTATCACTCAGCTCTAATTAATATTATGCTTAACATTCTGTTACTTACCTACATTATTACAATTATTTCTCAAATGATGTTTAAAGACTGTGCCCAGGCGTGTTTTCCCAGTTCGTTTGACAAGTGTGAGTGCTCCGAATCAGGCCCAGGTGTGGTTCAGTTGGCCACCCCTGGCCCGGTTGGAAGAGGTGTGCCAGAGTGCGGTTTGGTGGGGCATTGGTGTGGTACCCTTGTTGTGTGAGTGCTTGTAGTAGTGAGAGTCATTTTGGAATAAAGAGTCGTCTAAATTACAGGCAAAGTTCTATTCTGTGGACACAAGAGAACTAACCGAATTTGTGGCGCCATCTAGCGGCAGTGTGTGTCTCCTGTCCTGACATTGAGGTACAAAGTATAAGGGAAGCTTATTTATAAACTAATTTTGAGAAGATCACGAGCTTATGATTGCATGCAGCCGGCCCAACATTATTTAATTTAGGATTCACCAATCAGACGATTCCTAAGCCACTATAAATACCCTAAGTTCCATTTAAAAGCCATTTTTGTTTTGAAGAATCCCCCCTTCCACCCCATACTCCTCCTCCTTCCCTAAAATGGGTGGCAAAGTGGCCCAGTGGTTAGCACTGTTGCCTTAGAGCAAGAACGTCACTAGTTCTAGTCCTTACCAAGCCAGCCAACATTCTGTGTGTAGTTTACACGTTCTCCCTGTGCTCATGTGGGTTTCCCCCAGGTTCCCTCCCACCGCCCAACAACATGCGACTTAAGTTAATTAACTAATCCAGATCGGCCCCATAGACATGCTCCTAGTAAGTAGTTATCTTTTAAGAGCAATCACTATCGGTACATTAGCTACTACATAAGAGGAGTTCTCGAGATCTACCTGAGCTTAAACTCCGTTCTCACCTAGCAAACAGGAGGGAGCCCCAGGCTCGAGGATCTCATAAGCTCAGGGCTCTCTCAGTCACTATTGAACGGCTAAACATTTAAACTGATAAAACAAAAAATAAACCTTAAATTATCCGGCTAATTACAAATATTTATATTAAAAATATTATTTATTTATTTTTTAAATGATTATTTATAGGATTTAAAAACATACTTTTATTTTTAAGGGGCGCAGGGTTTCGTCTTTCTGTTTATTAATCATTCTTACTTTTCAATGAACACAAACTGTCGTAGCTT